CCGCACTCACAGTCACCACACTCACAGTCATCACACTCACAGTCACCGCACTCACAGTCATCACACTCACAGTCACCGCACTCACAGTCACCACACTCACAGTCACCGCACTCACAGTCACCACACTCACAGTCATCACACTCACAGTCATCACACTCACAGTCACCGCACTCACAGTCACCACACTCACAGTCATCACACTCACAGTCACCGCACTCACAGTCACCGCACTCACAGTCATCACACTCACAGTCACCACACTCACAGTCATCACACTCACAGTCACCACACTCACAGTCACCACACTCGCAGTCACCGCACTCGCAGTCACCGCACTCACAGTCACCGCACTCACAGTCACCGCACTCGCAGTCACCGCACTCACAGTCATCACACTCACAGTCACCGCACTCGCAGTCACCGCACTCGCAGTCACCGCACTCACAGTCACCGCACTCACAGTCACCACACTCACAGTCACCGCACTCACAGTCACCGCACTCACAGTCACCACACTCACAGTCACCGCACTCACAGTCACCGCACTCACAGTCACCGCACTCGCAGTCACCGGCACTCGCAGTCACCGCACTCACATTCACCACACTCACAGTCACCGCACTCACAGTCACCGCACTCGCAGTCACCGCAACTCGCAGTCACCGCACTCACAGTCACCACACTCACAGTCACCGCACTCGCAGTCACCGCACTCACAGTCATCACACTCACAGTCACCGCACTCGCAGTCACCGCACTCGCAGTCACCGCACTCACAGTCACCACACTCACAGTCACCGCACTCGCAGGTCACCGCACTCACAGTCACCGCACTCACAGTCACCACACTCACAGTCACCGCACTCACAGTCACCGCACTCACAGTCACCACACTCACAGTCACCCGCACCACAGTCACCGCACTCACAGTCACCGCACTCGCAGTCACCGCACTCGCAGTCACCGCACTCACAGTCACCACACTCACAGTCACCGCACTCGCAGTCACCGCCACTCACAGTCACCGCACTCACAGTCACCGCACTCACAGTCACCGCACTCGCAGTCACCGCACTCACAGTCACCGCACTCACAGTCACCGCACTCGCAGTCACCGCACTCGCAGTCACCGCACTCACAGTCACCGCACTCACAGTCACCGCACTCACAGTCACCGCACTCACAGTCACCGCACTCACAGTCACCGCACTCGCAGTCACCGCACTCGCAGTCACCTCACTCGCAGTCACCCGCAATCCCAGTCACCTCACTCGCAGTCACCGCACTCACAGTCACCGCACTCACAGTCACCTCACTCACAGTCACCTCACTCACAGTCACCTCACTCGCAGTCACCTCACTCGCAGTCACCGCACTCGCAGTCACCTCACTCACAGTCACCGCACTCGCAGTCACCTCACTCACAGTCACCTCACTCGCAGTCACCTCACTCGCACGTCCCGCACTCGCAGTCACCCACTCACAGTCACCTCACTCGCACGTCACCTCACATTCACCTCACTCGCAGTCACCTCACTCGCAGTCACCTCACTCGCAGTCACGCCCACTCGCAGTCACCTCACTCGCAGTCACCTCACTCACAGTCACCGCACTCGCAGTCACCTCACTCACAGTCACCGCACTCGCAGTCACCGCACTCACAGTCACCTCACTCACAGTCACCTCACTCACAGTCACCGCACTCGCAGTCACCTCACTCACAGTCACCTCACTCGCAGTCACCGCACTCACAGTCACCTCACTCACAGTCACCTCACTCACAGTCACCTCACTCGCAGTCACCTCACTCGCAGTCACCTCACTCGCAGTCACCGCACTCGCAGTCACCTCACTCGCAGTCACCTCACTCACAGTCACCGCACTCGCAGTCACCTCACTCGCAGTCACCGCACTCGCAGTCACCTCACTCACAGTCACCGCACACACAGTCACCTCACTCGCAGTCACCTCACTCGCAGTCACTCACTCGCAGTCACCGCACTCGCAGTCCGCACTCACAGTCACCGCACTCACAGTCACCGCACTCACAGTCACCGCACTCACAGTCACCTCACTCACAGTCACCGCACACACAGTCACCTCACTCACAGTCACCGCACTCGCAGTCACCTCACTCACAGTCACCGCACTCGCAGTCACCGCACTCACAGTCACCGCACTCACAGTCACCGCACACACAGTCACCGCACACACAGTCACCGCACACGCAGTCACCGCACTCACAGTCACCGCACTCGCAGTCACCGCACTCACAGTCACCGCACACGCAGTCACCGCACACACAGTCACCGCACACGCAGTCACCGCACTCGCAGTCACCGCACTCGCAGTCACCGCACACGCAGTCACCGCACACGCAGTCACCGCACTCGCAGTCACCGCACTCACAGTCACCGCACTCACAGTCACCGCACTCACAGTCACCGCACTCACAGTCACCGCACACACAGTCACCGCACTCACAGTCACCGCACTCACAGTCACCGCACACGCAGTCACCGCACTCACAGTCATCACACTCACAGTCATCACACTCACAGTCACCACACTCACAGTCACCACACTCACAGTCACCGCACTCACAGTCACCGCACTCACAGTCACCGCACTCACAGTCACCACACTCACAGTCACCACACTCACAGTCATCACACTCACAGTCACCACACTCACAGTCACCACACTCACAGTCACCACACACACAGTCATCACACTCACAGTCACCACACACACAGTCACCACACTCACAGTCACCACACTCACAGTCACCACACACACAGTCACCACACTCACAGTCACCACACTCACAGTCACCGCACTCACAGTCACCGCACTCACAGTCATCACACTCACAGTCATCACACTCACAGGTCATCACACTCACAGTCACCACACCCACAGTCACACACTCACAGTCACCACACTCACAGTCACCACACTCACAGTCACCACACTCACAGTCACCGCACTCACAGTCACCACACTCACAGTCACCCACACTCACAGCCCACTCACAGTCACCACACTCACAGTCACCACACTCACAGTCATCACACTCACAGTCACCACACTCACAGTCATCACACTCACAGTCACCACACTCACAGTCACCACACTCACAGTCACCACACTCACAGTCACCACACTCACAGTCATCACACTCACAGTCACCACACTCACAGTCACCACACTCACAGTCACCACACTCACAGTCACCACACTCACAGTCACCACACTCACAGTCACCACACTCACAGTCATCACACTCACAGTCACCACACTCACAGTCACCACACTCACAGTCACCACACTCACAGTCACCACACTCACAGTCACCACACTCACAGTCATCACACTCACAGTCACCACACTCACAGTCACCACACTCACAGTCACCACACTCACAGTCACCACACTCACAGGTCACCACACTCACAGTCACCACACTCACAGTCACCACACTCACAGTCACCACACTCACAGTCATCACACTCACAGTCACCACACTCGCAGTCACCACACTCGCAGTCACCACACTCACAGTCATCACACTCACAGTCATCACACTCACAGTCACCACACTCACAGTCATCACACTCACAGTCACCACACTCACAGTCATCACACTCACAGTCATCACACTCACAGTCACCGCACTCACAGTCACCACACTCACAGTCACCACACTCACAGTCATCACACTCACAGTCATCACACTCACAGTCACCACAACTCACAGTCATCACACTCACAGTCATCACACTCACAGTCACCACACTCACAGTCATCACACTCACAGTCATCACACTCGCAGTCACCACACTCACAGTCACCACACTCACAGTCATCACACTCGCAGTCACCACACTCACAGTCATCACACTCACAGTCACCACACTCACAGTCACCACACTCACAGTCATCACACTCACAGTCATCACACTCACAGTCACCACACTCACAGTCATCACACTCACAGTCATCACACTCGCAGTCACCACACTCACAGTCACCACACTCACAGTCATCACACTCGCAGTCACCACACTCACAGTCACCACACTCACAGTCACCACACACACAGTCATCACACTCACAGTCATCACACTCACAGTCACCACACTCACAGTCATCACACTCACAGTCATCACACTCACAGTCACCACACTCACAGTCACCACACTCACAGTCACCACACTCACAGTCACCGCACTCACAGTCACCACACTCACAGTCATCACACTCACAGTCATCACACTCACAGTCATCACACTCACAGTCACCACACTCACAGTCACCACACTCACAGTCACCACACTCACAGTCACCACACTCACAGTCACCGCACTCACAGTCACCACACTCGCAGTCACCACACTCACAGTCACCACACTCACAGTCACCACACTCACAGTCACCGCACTCACAGTCACCACACTCAGTCACCACACTCACAGTCACCGCACTCACAGTCACCACACTCACAGTCATCACACTCACAGTCATCACACTCACAGTCACCGCACTCGCAGTCATCACACTCACAGTCATCACACTCACAGTCATCACACTCACAGTCACCGCACTCACAGTCACCACACTCACAGTCACCGCACTCACAGTCACCACACTCACAGTCACCGCACTCACAGTCACCACACTCGCAGTCACCACACTCACAGTCACCACACTCACAGTCACCACACTCACAGTCACCGCACTCACAGTCACCACACTCAGTCACCACACTCACAGTCACCGCACTCACAGTCACCACACTCACAGTCATCACACTCACAGTCATCACACTCACAGTCACCGCACTCGCAGTCATCACACTCACAGTCATCACACTCACAGTCATCACACTCACAGTCACCGCACTCACAGTCACCACACTCACAGTCACCGCACTCACAGTCACCACACTCACAGTCACCACACTCACAGTCAGCCCTGCCTCTGTGTGTGTGTCTCACCTCCTCACCGACTCGCTACGGCAGCGCCAGCAGCCTCGGCCTTCTGCCGTCACCCCGGGGGGGGGGCAGAGACGAGAACCGAGGCGTGGGGGGGGTGGTGGTGGTGGTGGTGTCCGACGCCACGGGACCGGCCTCCTCGTGTTCCGGTTGGTGAAGTCGCGGGCCAGGCTGGATTCGTCGATGGTTTTGTGGCTGTTTTTGTTGCGGGGGGCGGTGTGCCCCCCACAGACACTAGGCCTGGCTTGCTATGCAAAGGTGCAAAAATGTTGTGGTTGGTATTAACGGCGCATGGCGAAGAGCAGGGATTGGTAAGGGGGTAAGGGAGGGGGGGTTAATGGGGTAAGGGGTTAATGGGGTAAGGGGTTAATGGGGTAATGGGGGGTGGTGGTGGTGGTGGTGGGGGGGTGGTGGGGGGGTGGTGGGGGGGTGGTGGTGGTGGGGGGGTGGTGGGGGGTCAGGTCGGGTGAAGGCGTTAGACTAATCTGGAAGGGCCTCTCTGTGTGTGTGTGGCTTGCCGATGGGGAATGAATGGCGGGCTGGGGTGGGTGTAACGGGGGCTTAGGGAGTGGGTTAGGGGGGTTAGGGGGGGTTAAGGGGGTGGGTTAGGGGTCTTAGGGGTCTTAGGGGGGTTAGGGGGGGTTAGGGGGGTGGGTTAGGGGTCTTAGGGGTGGGTTAGGGGGGTTAGGGGGGGTTAAGGGGGTGGGTTAGGGGTCTTAGGGGTGGTTAGGGGGTTAGGGGGGGTTAGGGGGGTGGGTTAGGGGTCTTAGGGGTGGGTTAGGGGGGTTAGGGGGGGTTAAGGGGGTGGGTTAGGGGGCTTAGGGGTGGGTTAGGGGGGGTTAAGGGGGTGGGTTAGGGGTCTTAGGGGTCTTAGGGGTGGGTTAGGGGGGTTAGGGGGGGTTAGGGGGGTGGGTTAGGGGGTCTTAGGGTCTTAGGGGTGGGTTAGGGGGGTTAGGGGGGGTTAAGGGGGTGGGTTAGGGGTCTTAGGGGTGGGTTAGGGGGGTTAGGGGGGTTAAGAGGGTGGATTAGGGGTCTTAGGGGTGGGTGAGCGTGTGGGGTGAGCGTGTGGGGTGAGCGTGTGGGGGGGTGAGTGCGTGGAGTGAGCGTGTGGGGGGGTGAGTGTGTGTGGAGTGAGCGTGTGTGGAGTGAGCGTGTGTGGGGGTGAGCGTGGGGGGTGAGTGTGTGTGGGGGTGAGCGTGTGTGGGGTGAGCGTGTTGGGTGAGCGTGTGGGGGGGCGAGCGTGTGGGGTGAATGTGTGTGGGGTGAGTGCGTGTGGGGGGGTGTGTGTGGAGTGAGCGTGTGGGGGGGTGAGTGTGTGGGGTGAGAGCTTGTGGGGTGAGCGTGTGGGGTGAGCGTGTGGGGTGAGCGCGTGGGGGGGTGAGCGTGTGGGGTGAGCGTGTGTGGGGTGAGTGTGTGGGGTGAGCGCGTGTGGGCTGAGTGTGGGGTGAGCGTGTGGGGGGGGGTGAGCGCGTGGGGTGAGCGTGTGTGGGGTGAGTGCGTGTGGGGGGGTGAGCGTGTGGGGTGAGCGTGTGGGGGGGGTGAGCGTGTGTGGGGTGAGCGGTGTGGGGGGGTGAGCGTGTGTGGGGTGAGTGTGTGTGGTGAGTGTGTGGGGGGGTGAGTGAATGGGTGAGCGTGTGTGGGGTGAGCGTGTGGGGTGAGCGTGTGAGGTGAGCGTGTGTGGGGTGAGCGTGTGTGGTGAGCGTGTGTGGTGAGCGTGTGGGGTGAGCGTGTGTGGGGTGAGTGTGTGGGGTGAGCGTGTGGGGTGAGTGTGTGGGGTGAGCGTGTGGGGTGAGCGTGTGGGGTGAGTGTGTGGGGTGAGCGCGTGTGGGCTGAGTGTGGGGTGAGCGTGTGGGGTGAGCGCGTGGGGTGAGCGTGTGTGGGGTGAGCGTGTGGGGTGAGTGCGTGTGGGGGGGGTGAGTGTGTGGGGTGAGCGTGTGGGGGTGAGTGAGTGTGGGGGTGAGAGTGTGTGGGGTGAGAGTGTGTGGGGTGAGTGTGTGTGGGGTGAGTGTGTGTGGGGTGAGTGTGTGGCGTGTGTGGGGTGAGCGTGTGGGGTGAGCGTGTGGGGGGGTGAGCGTGTGGGGTGAGCGCGTGGGGTGAGCGCGTGGGGTGAGCGCGTGGGGTGAGCGTGTGGGGTGAGTAAGTGGGGTGAGCGTGTGGGGGTGGTGAGCGTGTGGGGTGAGCGCAAGAGGGATGGATGGATATGGGGTGAGTCGGGGGAGATTCGGGCTGCCCTCACGTGGGTGGGTGGGGGGGGAGACACCGGGCCCCCCTTGAGACACGGGCCCCCCTAAGATGGGTAGGAGAGAGACACGGGCCCCCCTAAGATGAGTAGGAGAGAGACACGGGCCCCCCCTTAAGACACGGGCCCCCCTAAGATGGGTAGGAGAGAGACACGGGCCCCCCTAAGATGGGTAGGAGAGAGACACGGGGCCCCCCTAAGATGGGTAGGAGAGAGACACGGGCCCCCCTAAGATGGGTAGGAGAGATACACGGGCCCCCCTAAGATGGGTAGGAGAGAGACACGCCCCCCCCCCCCAAGATGGGTAGGAGAGAGACACGGGCCCCCCTAAGATGGGTAGGAGAGACACGGGCCCCCCCTTAAGACACGGGCCCCCCTAAGATGGGTAGGAGAGAGACACGGGCCCCCCCTTAAGACACGGGCCCCCCTAAGATGGGTAGGAGAGAGACACGGGCCCCCCCCCTTAAGACACGGGCCCCCCTAAGATGGGTAGGAGAGAGACACGGGCCCCCCTAAGATGGGTAGGAGAGAGACACGGGCCCCCCTAAGATGGGTATTAAAGAGACACGGCCCCCCTGAGGAGACCCCGGGGTGAGACACGTGAGACGCGGGCTCCCCCCTCAGGACACACGGGGGCCCCCCCCCCTCCCCACCTGGGGAGGAGACACAAACCCCGAGAGATGGACAATCACCTCACGTCCACCACCACGTCCACCACCTTCAATCGCTCTGTGCCCGAGGTCCGCCCATGCCTCGGCGCAGACAAAACGCGACGTTTCGCTCCTGCTGCCTAGACGATGCAAACCTCATTCAGCCTCCAGCGGTGGACAACGCTCCACCACCCTCACTAGTCGACCCCCCCTCCTCTCACGGGGAAGAGGGGGTTTGCCCAAGAAGCTGTGGGCAGCGATGGAGCAGCAGCAGTAGTAGCAGGAGCAGCAGTAGCAGCAGCGGCGGTGGTCGCGGCGGCAATGGGCAGCTGTGGGCAGCAGCAACGGCACCGAAACGCGGACCCACTCTGCGCGCACGCCGATTGGTCCAGCCGCGAACCACGTGGGGGGGGGGGGCGTGCGTCGACCAATCGGTGGGCGAGCTCGCGCGCTGCCGTTGGTTAAGTGTCTGCGACGGGGGGAGAAGGTGGGGGGGGTGGAGGGGGTGAGGGTGGGGGCTTCCGGTTAGGGGGGGGGGGCGTGCGTCGACCAATCGGTGGGCGAGCTCGCGCGCTGCCGTCGGTTAAGTGTCTGCGACGGGGGGAGAAGGTGGGGGGGGTGGAGGGGGTGAGGGTGGGGGCTTCCGGTTAGGGGGGGGCGTGCGTCGACCAATCGGTGGGCGAGCTCGCGCTGCCGTCGGTTAAATGTCTGCGACGGGGGGTGAGGGTGGGGGCTTCCGGTTAGGGGGGGTGAAGTGGAGTGGCTTCCGGTGGGGGGGGGCGAAGGGGTTTGGTGGTGATCACGTGAGACGCGTCTCAACCAATCGTTGATCGCGGTTGCTGTTGGCCCCGCCCTTCTTTAACCCCCCCCCTCCCGCGTGTGGGGTGGGGGGGGGCTGGTGGAGACACGGCCGGTGACGTCACCCGCGATGACGTCATCCGTCGCGCGAGGTGCCCCGGGGTCACGTGACGGCTGTGACCACCCCCCCCCCGTTTCCTCCATTGTCTATGACGTCACCGCAATACTCTTGTGCCAGGATAGGTGCACCTAGCCTGGCACTGCCCGGTAGATTTGAATAAGGACTAACATTAATTCTAGACTTGAAGCTTTCGTGACTGCAAGGAATCATATTCTTAGGTGTTTTCGGTAAAGTCACGTAGGTAAAACATCAAAATTAATAAAAATAATAAAATAAAATTATCTTTATTAAAAATAATAAAATAAAATGATCTTTATTTTTTTTTATTAATTTTGATGTTTTACCTACGTGACTTTACCGAAAACACCTAAGATAATAACATAAAATGATCTTTATTTTATTTTATAATTTTTATTAATTTTGATGTTTTACCTACGTGACTTTACCGAAAACACCTAAGAATAAGGACTAACAATTAAAATTTTAATGAAACATTGCATTTAAAGAAGCAGATTTGTAGAAATTATATTACATGGCTCACTCAGCCACTGTCGTAGACATAGTCTACAAAAGATTCATTTTTAAATCCTTTATATTAAGTTCGCTTGCTTGCTTGCTTACGACCGTGCAAATCTTTCGGTCGTTTTTTTAACCCACTTCCCGTGATCCAATCGAGCTGACATTTTGCACACAGACTCGTTGTGCCAGACAATTAATGTTCGTGAAAAAAAATTCCAAAATGTTACACTGTTTAGGGAAAACAAATTAAATATTTAATTACCAATTGCTTAATACTGGCAGACAATCATCTGACCCATAGGTGGCAGCCATCTCAAGCCAGAGGACGAGAGGACTCTAGCCGGCACGCATATAAAGGATTTATAGTGAAAAACTTTGTTTTTACGGGTTATACTTGTTAAATCCTTTATATTAAGTTCACTTGCTTGCTTGCTTATGACCGTGCAAATCTTTCGGTCGTTTTTTAACCCACTTCCCGTGATCCAATCGAGCTCACAGTTCGCACACAGACTCGTTGTGCGTGACAATGCATTTTCGTGAAAAAATAATTCCAAAATGTTACACTTTTTAAGACAAAAATATTATATTTAATTACCAATTGCTTAATGGTGCAATGCAATCATCTGACCAATAGGTGGCAGCCATCTCAAGCCAGAGGACGAGAGGACTCTAGCCGCCACGCATATAAAGGATTTAGAGTGAAAAACTTTGTTTTTACGGGTTATACTTGATTCTTGATTTCACTGTCGCAAACTGGTCAATCACGTAATCAAAATTAGTTTTTTCCAATGTTTTTCTTTCAATGCTAAGAAGAACAAGATCGCCGAGACGATCTTGTCCCATTGAAGCACGCAAATACGACAAAATAAGATTAAATTTGCCGAACGACCGCTCACAGCTTGCAATTTTAAACTGCTATTGTTAATCAAATTAGCAGTGAAATTCGCAATTTCGGAAATATGTCGTCTCCATAAGCTTTCGTGACTGCAAGGATTCATACTCTTAGGTTTTTTCGGTAAAGTCACGTAGGTAACAAATTTAAATTAATAAAAGTAAAATAAAAAAATTAGAAAATTCACGACGTTTCGGAAGCTTGTGAAGCTTGTGTTACTTCCGAAACGTCGTGAATTTTTTAATTTGTTTTATTTTACTTTTATTGATTTAAATTTGTTACCTATGTGACTTTACCGAAAAAACCTAAGAGTATAAAACCAAGAAGATCTAAAGGAGTTTCTGGTAGAACTTAATTCCGGTTACTGAGCAGCATTTTGCAATCTCCAATTTCTGTGAAAAGTTCGTGGCCATTGATGTCGGTGTCATAGAAATTTCCAAAATCTGTGCAATTTCGACGAATTGCATCGACATCTGTGTCGGATAGAAGAGTTTTGACGTCCAGCAGAAATCAAAATTTCGTGTTCAGGTCTTTTAGTCATAAAAACCGTGTTGGCATCTCCTGTTGAAGTCGATAAAATACGCTCTTCATAACGCGCACAATTTCTTCTTCTGCTGAAAGTCCTGCATCTCTTGCCAGTTCTCCTGGCATCTTCCGACGTCGCCTAATTCTTCTGTCCACATCGATCCCCCAGACTGTGCATCTTGTTTTGGCGTTTTCTACAGCAACTTGGCTCAAATCATCACGAAGCTTGACAAATTCATGTTCCAAAGATTCAAGATCAGTTGCTGCTTCCTTGAAATTCATAGTAGGATCCTGTAAGCGCTTCTGAACACGATCCATTTTTCCAAGAATGACATTCCAGAAATGTAATAAAACTATGAAGTTAAAATTTAATACGCATGCCTGTAACTGTTCTGCATCACTTCTGGTTTCAGGCGTCATAGTTACGTCCTCCGATAATACTGGTAGGAACGAAGTGAACCAGCCTACAATAGATTATATCGTCCGTCCGTCCGATGTCCGGTTAGGTGTAACAACATCGCCCCGTACTGCAAACACTTGGCAGGACCCTACAAAAACCTTTAGACTCAGTGAGGCTTTCCTGGCTAAACAAGTGTAACATTCCCTTATTAGTTTTTAATTAAAACATTTAAATTAAAAATTAACTCACAGCGGCCTAAAGCCTACAGCTAGGCCTAAAGCCTAGAACTAGGCCTCAAACTCTCCCTTCGTATCGTACCCCGCCATTTCATTTTATTATAGCCATTCATTTGTTCGTTCCTACCAGCCCAACCCGCAGGGACCTGTTTTGTCTCGCAGCCCTACTAGTTCATCCAGTCCTTCATAGATAGCTTTAACAGCTTCTGATCGTGCAACTCCAGCGTGTTTCAGGCCGTCGTAGTTTCCGCCACCAAAAAACAGGCCAGTGACTAAGGCTGAAAGACTGCGCCTGTCTGTTGTTTGGGACGTTCTTCCATGTAAGTTCTTAATAGGCGCGCGTACCAAAATGTAATTACATGACATGTAGGCTGTGTGTGGCGGGATATATTAACGTTTAGCTTGAGGTGTAGATTTGTGCAGTAGTTGCAGGCTGCCGCGCCCGCCGCAATAAGTTATAATGTGACGTTGTAAGCAGTGGCGGCTCCTGCAAAATCTCTCAGGGGGAGCAAATGTCTGGATGATTGATAAGGATAAGGTCCACCCATGCAATGGATAAATTAACAGCTTAAGCATGTAAAGGCAACTTCACTTCTTTAATATTAATGAAAAATAAAGTGACTCTTACAATACATCTTGTTTGTTTCTATACTCACTATTAAAACAAACCACTCAAGTTTATTTTATTAAAGATTCCACTAGGTGGCCACAAATTATATTGTTGGATGAAACGTGCTTACGTATGATGACGCAAGCACGTATGATGATGTAAGCACGTTAGGGCGAGCCCTCCCGGAAGCCATAGAGAATGCATTGCAGCGCCCCCCGGTCGAAAAAAAACATCTTTGAATGTAAGTCTATGGGGCCACTCGGGGCGATTCTCAGCCGGAGTGAAATCGCCCAAAAGGAGGCGGTACTCCACAGAACGTGACATGACGCTGATTGGACTATATCCAGAGGATGCACAGTGACGGCTAGCGTAGCTCTGTGGTTGAATGACATTGGTGGTGCGTCGCCCAATCGCCCTAATGAAGAAACCGCCCCTGGTTGTAAGCCTCATTTTGGCGCCCCTTAACCTTGGCGCCCGAGGACACGTGTACCTCCTGCCCCCCCCTAGCTACGCCTCTGCCTCAAGTACACCTAGCCTGGCACTGCCGGGTAGCCTCAAGTGCACCTAGCCTGGCACCGCCCAGTAGCATCAAGTGTACCTAGCCTGGCACTGCCCAGTGCTGATGTTGTTGGTGTTTGCAGTGTTAGGCTGCTGCTATATAGTTCGCCGTGATAAGCCAATAAAATAAAGAAAAAATTGATTTTGTATTGGGTCCATGTGGGTCTCTATGAGTGTGGGTCTCTGTGGGTCTCTATGAGTGTGGGTCTCTGTGGGTCTCTATGGGTATGGGTCTCTGTGGGTCTCTATGAGTGTGGGTCTCTGTGGGTCTCTATGAGTGTGGGTCTCTGTGGTCTCTATGAGTGTGGGTCTCTGTGGGTCTCTATGAGTTAGGTCTCTGTGGGTCTCTGTATGGGTTTCTGTGGGTCTCTATGAGTATGGGTCACTGTGGGTCTCTATGAGTATGGGTCTCTGTGGGTCTCTGAGTATGGGTCTCTGTGGGTCTCTATGAGTGTGGGTCCATGTGGGTCTCTATGAGTGTGGGTCGGTGTGGGTCTCTATGAGTGTGGGTCTCTGTGGGTCTCTATGAGTGTGGGTCTCTGTGGGTCTCTATGAGTGTGGGTCTCTGTGGGTCTCTGTGAGTGTGGGTCTCTGTGGGTCTCTATGAGTGTGGGTCCATGTGGGTCTCTATGAGTGTGGTCTCTCTGAATAACACTCTCTGTAGGGTCTGTATGGGTATGGGTC